AGGAAAGTCGTAATTTTTTAATATACTCTGAACTTGGTAGCACCAATAGGATGCTGAGAGCAAAAGAGCAGCTGAGCTATTTTAAGGTCTGTTCTTCCGGCAGTTTGGTGCACATCTTAAAGAAAAATAAGAATTAAAAAAAAAAAAAATGACACCAAACTGCTCTGTTTTCATTGCATTATGCAGATGAAATGACAAGTTGTCATTTAAGAAGTTAATAAACAGTCACCATTTTGCAGGTTATCCAAATGCTACTGAATAGAAAACCTTGGATCCCTAAATGATGTGTAATTAAAATTATTTTAAAAATCCTCCTTGACAGGCCAGGGCTTAGCCAAAATGTAAATGACATTAAAGAAGACAATGAATTTAATTTTATTTAATGTCCCTTTTTGCAGATCCTCATTTACATAGCATTTTTAACAAAAGCGTTGACCTTATAAATGCTGGCATTTGTACAGCTTCTGCAGAGTTGGATTTAATCATGCTTTCGCAAAGCCATAAGGGAAAAAGCTTTAAGTTCTCTGGTTGGATATGGAGTAGGAATAAAAACATTGGGACTGGTCAAATGTTTATCCTCCTTGCTTCTGAAAACAACCTGACAAGAAGATGTAAAGGTCTAGGGAATAACCCATTGCTGTTTGTAAGGCTTGGTAATAATCATACATAATCGTTTGGAAATATAGCTAATAAAAAATATAATGAGTGTTCAGCAAAATCGGCATTAGGCCCAAATTACATGATATTAATACTTGAACAGGTGCAGAAAGGCGCTTTAAATGAGGTAAATGAATAAAATGTCCCAGAGCACAACTGTGTGCACTGACAAAAAGTCAATCACATGAATAATTCAGCGGCCGGGACTGCCAGCAAAGGTCAGCGGCTCTCACCTTTGTGACGGGAAGTGAAAGGAAACGCTGCTGACGAAAAAAAAAAATAAAATAAAAAAACCCCTCGCCCTCCAGCCGTCGCCGACAGAGGTGTAAACTTGGAGTAGGGAGGAATTAAAGCGCTGCACCGGCGAGCCGGCAGTAGAAATAAATAAATAAATAAATAAATAAATAAATAAATAAATAAATAAATATCATAATTAAAAAAAAAAAAAAAAGCTGGAACAGCCAAGTGGTTTAGGGGAAATTAATCTGAAATTTCAGCCAGGGAAAGGTTAAGGGGGGGTGGCTAAAAGAAATGTCAATTATCTCCCAAATCTGAGGTCAGGCAAAAGGTATTTTAAGAGCCTACGGGATTGAAATTTTGTAACAGCTGTTAAATATGACAAAACTTTTTATTCCCCCAAACTACAGCTATTCCAAACTCCATATGAAAGAAATGGGATAAGCAGATGTCTGGCTCCCATACAGGAAAGTAGGACACACTTGGAATGATAAGTCTCCCAAAGTCTATAGAATAATGCCAGATTTATTGGGGAGGGGGGCGTTGGCTGCCCACGGAGATGCCAGCGAGCAGTAGGGCTGTGCTGGTGCCATCTGGAAACCCTCTGCTCCGCCAGCGCTCCCGGCCCGGCCTCCGACCGCCACCGGCACCCGGCGGCACCCGCGGGAGCCCCGGCCCGCGGGGACACCCCCGGGAGGCAGCCAGAAGCCAAGGCTCTGGCTCCCAGCAGGAATTTCCATCCCTCCCCAGTGAAATATCTGCTGGTGGCACGGAGGAACGGTTCTAGGCCAGAGTGTGGTTTTGGTTTAGCAGTTCCAGCGGCATCCTGTAATCATTTGCAGCCCTTGGAATGTATGGGTGAAATAGGAGAGATTTATCTGTTCATAGTTGTGATATGTAGACAATGGGTGTTCCTAATGAGGAACATCTGCTTTTGTGTTTTCCCAGAAAACATTATTCCACTATGAAAATGATACTCCCATCCTTTTCAGCAACACCGCAAAGAAAATATGGGCCTTTTCCTTTCTTTTATTTGCTTTTCTTTGGGTCAATCTAATTTCCCAGGGACACTTTTTCTGTGGCATCTTTTTACTGACTGCGCTGCAATTTACGGTGGGTTTGTTCTTTAACACGTGAGGTACTGTGCTGGAGGAACGGCCCCGAAATGCCAGCAGATACTTAAATGTGTACAGTAATAAAAGCCTCCCCGCTCAGCCGTGCTCCGTGAGAAACATCCCGGCGACGTAAATAAAAATTCCCAGTGAATTAAAAGGTCGCGGAGGCTCCTGACACCAAAAACCGCTTCCAAGGCCTCGGGTTTGGCTTTTACATTTCCAGCCCACTGCAGGATTCAAACATAGAATTACACAAGTTTATTTTAAATATCAGCACTGCTAATAAATTATTACTCCTGGGGTGCGTAAGGGGTTTTTTCCCTTCTGTTTTTTGGGTTTTTTTAATCCCAGCGCATAAACAGTTCCGACTATCACTGAGTCTCCTAGTGTGGGCTGGAAGAAATGGGTGGCCATAGATCTCAATTCAGGATTGAATTATTGGTTCATATCCTGAGGACAAATATGCCTTATCTGGTCAAAAGCTGCTAAAT